CTAGGACACACACACAGACGCACACACACACACGCACACACGCTTACGCACGCACACACGCACAGTGAAGCCTTATTGATCTGGTCAACACGGTGGGCTACACAGTGTTAGCTCCTAGCAACAGCTGGCTTTGTTTGAGCAAAACATCCACACACACGCACACACACACACACACACACACACACAAACAGATTCTGAAACCACAGACACATCAACAGATGGCCCAGTGTGTGTCTGCGTCTGTTTGTATGTATGTGTGTGTGTGTGATTGTGTAATAGAAGCTGCCACCTGTCTGTAGGACACCTGATCCCTCCTCCCCCCCAGGGCATTCTGGGTATTTGTGGGAAGGCCTGTGGGTGTCTGCTGTGTGTGTGTTCCACATTTAGAGCTTTTATTCTCTTCCTCTGTTGTGCGTTAATCAACTGTTTCTGTTCATCTACTGACGCTTCACATTCAATACACACACACACACACACACACACACACACACACACATACACACACATACACACACACACACACACACACACAGACACACACATACACACACATACACACATACACACACACACACACATACACGCACACACACACACACAGACACACACACACACACACAGACACACACACGGACACACACACAGACACACACAGACACACACAGACAGACACACACACACACACACACACACACACACAGACACAGACACACACACACACACAGACACATACACACACAGACACACACACACACACACACAGACACACACACACACACAGACACACACACACACACACACAGACACACACACACACACACAGACACACACACACACACACACACAGACACACACACACACACACACACAGACACACACACACACACACACACACACACACACAGACACACACAGACACACACTCAGGTGTACTGTGTTCCCAGGTGAGCTGCGACGCTGCAGTCTGAACTCGCTGTGGTTCTTTTTGCTGCGACTCTTCTTCTTCCTGATCTCCTCACAGCGCTCGTAGTCACACAGGTCCAACACCTCATCGGACCGGCCCATCTCCTTCACCTGCTGTGGGACACAGGCTAATGCTAAGCTAGCACGTCTGAACCAGGAAACTGAGTACCTGAGCAGGTAGTTCATGCTTGTAGACCGCGTGTGTCAGACTCAAAGCTATTGTGAGAATGACAGAAAGACATTTCTCTAAAAGTAGCTGCTATTCCTGATCCGTCCACTGGGGGTCGCGTTGGACCAGGAGGACCAGGAGGACCAGGTCCTTCACCAACGCAGAGCCAGTAGAACCCTTCCATCCAGAGAAATGACATCACGCGGTGCTTCTGACAGACGAGACGCTCGTTGTGTTTATTTACATCGATTCGTTTTGTTGTGCCGTTTGGTTCCCGCTACTGCTCATAGTTATCATCATTCGGGCAAACTGCCTGCCTGCCCCCCCCCCGTCGGCCGGACCCCCGCACCCCCCTCACACACACACACACACACACACACAGGTCCTTCCTGCAGCACCTCTGTAGCCTCTGCAGGTCACCTTCAGCTAATTCATCTCCACGGAAACAACATCCATTATTAAACAGCTTAAAGGGGGAGGAGGAGGAAAAGAAGAAGCAGCAAACTGTCGAGTTGTATCTGTCTGATCTGAAGCAGATGTGGTCAGAATGTGTGTGTTCGTTTCTATTCCTGATGAAACAGGAAGTTGAGGTGGAGATGCTGACAGCTCGTCATGAACCACAGAATCAGAAGTCTGAAGCTCGGCGGCGCTCAGATGGCCAAATACGGTCATGAACGAGGACGGCTGGTCACATGACCAGCTCCTCTCTGACAGCCAATGTCAGCTGATGGAAAAGTAAGAACTGTTGTTTCAGTGACAGAGAGAAAATCAATAGAGGTGATCGCATCTGAAGTCTTCAGTAACACCTCAAGAGAACGTCATGGATCCTCGGTTCCATCTATTAAACCCCCGAGACATTCAATGAAAAACTACAAATATTTCAGTTAAAATGTTTTTTGTGTCAAGACAATTGAGTGTTAGCATAGCTTAGCTCTAAGACTGGAAGCAGGGGAGAGTGTTAGCATAGCTTAGCTCTAAGACTGGAAGCAGGGGAGAGTGTTAGCATAGCTTAGCTCTAAGACTGGAAGCAGGGGAGAGTGTTAGCATAGCTTAGCTCTAAGACTGGAAGCAGGGGAGAGTGTTAGCATAGCTTAGCACAAAGACTGGAAGCAGGGGAGAGTGTTAGCATAGCTTAGCACAAAGACTGGAAGCAGGGGAGAGTGTTAGCATAGCTTAGCAAATAGCTGCTATAGCAGATAAAGGTTCTGTGAGGACGTTCTAAAGCAGATAAAGGTTCTGTGAGGACGTTCTAAAGCAGATAAAGGTTCTGTGAGGACGTGCTATAGCAGATAAAGGTTCTGTGAGGACGTTCTAAAGCAGATAAAGGTTCTGTGAGGACGTTCTATAGCAGATAAAGGTTCCGCCCTGTGTGGGGCGTTGCGGTGAAACTGAATCTCTCTGTGTGTCAAACTGAAACTCGACTCCTGCAGAACTTCGTTGTAGAAATTGGAAGAGAAACTTTCTGTTGGGAGTGTGAACCTTGATAAACCTGATAAATACCAAACAGAGTATTTCAGGAACTATGTGTTCTCTGATGTAATTTCTAAGAAAGGATTTCAACTAACAATATGTGTTTTTTTTTAATTATCCTTTCAATACTTTAAATGAATACTTTCTAAAAAAAAGTGGAAGCCGTGACAAGCAAAAGAGATTAAAGCGATTCATTTGGTTGCTGTCAACATGGGCCCTCCCACTACATTCTTCCAGCATCTGGAACTCCCCAGGGAACCCTAACCCAGGGACCTGGTTTTCTGGACTTTACAGCTCTGGCCTTTCAACCACCATCATTCCCG